GAATTAGAGTATCTCAAACAGAGCTGTGAAGGATTTGGGGAAGAATAAAACAGAAGAAGCCACTTCTCTAATAGGGCTTGGGTGGAGCAGTATGGCCCTACAAGATCCTCTGGTCATCTAAAAGTTTATGTTGGAAGTTCCTCCAATGGGTTGATGGCTTCATCTTCCAGTTGAACCCGCTTGCCCGCCCTTTCGTGGCGGTGTTGGGTCAGCCTGGTGCCCCAGCACTGCAGCACCCCCAGCCCCAGCACCCCCTGCTCAACCCCAGAGCAGCGGCGCGGTGCCGTGCTGATGCCCTCCGTTGTCACCTCCTCTTCATCGCCAGCCCCCACCTGCCGATCTGCCTGTGTCGCTGGGCCCCGCCGTTTCTGAAAGCTCCTGTATCCTTTTCCTGAATGCTGGCCTTTTAATCAGCACCACCCAAATCCCGGTAATTACGGGGTTCGGAGCTGCAACAAAGGCTTCTTTCTGCTGCTCAGGTGAGCTGCCCCGAGACGCAGCGCGGCCCCACGTCGCGCGGGGCTCTCGGGGAGAGTAGCAGCCAGGAGTGTCCTGCCCCAGCCAAGCAGAGGTCAACATGTGACACAGGGAGAAGTGGAAGTAGGTAGTTAGGTTGGAAGGTATTATTTAAAGATAATAAGCTACAATTATATTGCTCGAACAGCAATCCCTTTGTTTCCCTTTGCTGTTTGCCTATCTTTGGGTTTTAGTGGGGGAAGGTTATTTTTTATCTGTTGTTAGGGTGCTTGTACTTTTTAAAGATAAGATAAAACCCGTTTTTTCATACTTAAAATGCTTTCATACAAAGCCTGTTTGATTTCGTATTTCCTATCTGTGTCTGAACATTAATAAAATGAATTTGAAGGGGTCCTGCATAAAATGCAGAATCTTTCTTTTTTCCCTCTCCTCTTGGAGAAGATGTGTAACACCCAAACCCATCTCAACAATCCCCTTATCAAGCCTGGTCCGTGTGGCACTGGGGGAGAATTGTGCCACCTCTTCTGACTCAGTTCAGTAACTGGGAGCAGAACATCGCCCTTTTATTTAACTCAGCTCTGTTAGAGCAGTGCCCCAAGTCCTCGGGCAAAGAAAGGGTTTAAATGGATGTTTGGATCCAGTGTGGTTTTTAATAATGCTCTTCTTGTGATTTGGAGCCATTCTGCGTTTAATTGACTTTCATCAAGAGGCTCCCAACCATTTATGGTTGGATGTGTACCTGCTTTTTATGCCTGAACGCAAGTCCTGTGGATGTCGTTGGGAGCTGTGAGGCTTGATTCAAACGTCCGGTAGTCTTCACATGTCAAACAGGATTGTTTTCCTCCTTCTGTTTCGTGGTTAATTTGTAGTTTTTGTTATTGGCGCAGTGTGTTTAACAGCAGCGCTAAAAGGCTGCCGAGACAAGGGCTGGGAAGTGGCCTCTCGGCTGACAGCGATGGGGAGCTGCCGTTCCCCGCAGGCCAGGTGCAGAGTGGGAAGTGAGACGCTTTCTGCTAATGGGCAGAAGGGTTTTGCTGACAGGAGAGGAATGGTGAGAATCAGGAAGATTTGCTGTAAGTGAGGCTCTGTCGTGTGTTTTCTTCCTGTAACCTGCCAGTTTTTGACTCCTTTTACCTCACATCTTCTGACAGGTCTTTCCCTCGCCCACTCCCATTTTCCTCCTCTGCCCATTCACTGTTTTCAGACTTTCAACAGGGTTGCCCCCTGTGGTCCAGGCTTGTTTTCTCCTTCTTCTTCACTCCAGCCCAGGCTCTGGCCAGTTTGCTAACCTGGGTCTGACGTGCTGGGATACTTGGACTTCCATAGGAACAGGCCGGCTGAGGAGTAAGCAACAACAAGCCCTTCTCTTTGGCCCCGTCTGTGCTTACGCCTGGTCCTGGACTTTCAGTGAATGATGGGTAAAAGCCCAAAGCAAACCTCGACACCTACGTACCAGGGAACTTCAAATGCCAGTGCACAGTTGGCTGAGCTGACTCCTCAGTGTCTTCCCTAACAGACTAACCCTCTTATATTAACTTTTCTTAATGCCACTTACCCACTGAAGTTTAAAGCTGAGCTAATTAAATCCTTAACTGGATACAGTATCGTGGGTAGGTGTGGAAGTAGTAATCTATGGAATTCCCATACTACACTACATTACTGTCTCCAGCTCAGAGGGCTGGGGCTCTCCTGTCAGGGGTTCTTTGCCCATTTCAGTTATACAGTGTTTAACAGAATAAACGGAATCCTTGGGATCTTCATATCTGATGGTCAGGGGTTTTTTTTGGCTGCCATCCTGATTTCTGTATCAGACCGTTTCCAGTTTCAAATCTGTGGTTAAATAAGTGTGTTGCTATTGGCATTTGCCTAATTATGTTTGAAAATCAATCTACTGAAGCACTTCAGTGGCAGGGTTTAAATCCATGTATGATAGGGCTAAAAAGCAATTTGGCCCCTTTTTACACAGAATTGCAAATGCACCTTTGAAGACAGAGTAGCCAACATGCAAGCTTTCTTTTCTTTCTTTAAATGCCGAGATGCAAATATGGAGATTTGTGTTTCCCCTGATGCTCGGTTGGTGCCAGTAACACTCAGAGCGGTTTGAGGAGCGGAGCCTCCTGCCCGCTGGTGAGCGAATGTTGTGTCGTGGGCTGGGGTAGGGGAGCTGCCGAGCACAGGTCGTGGCACGTGCCAGCAGCTCAAGTCTCGGCAGGTCAGGAAGACTGAGCTTGGCTCAAAGCAAGATACTTATTTTGGACTTAATGCTCTTCTTTTGTTCTGACAGGCGCAGTAAGTACAGTAAGGCTAAGCAAGAGGCGGATGAGGAGAAGCATTTGAACCAAGGTAAAAGGCAGTGGTGCTTGGGGTTTTTGATTTGGCTCGTAAAACCTGTCCCATGTTCTGGTCCTTGGGAAATAAGGGATGACACTCTGCTTGAGATGAATGTGTTTCCTTTTTCCTGTCTTGCAAACGTCAAAACCATGCACTTCAGTAACAGGGAAAATAGGAGTATCTGGGTAAAAATTTTTTGAGGAGGCAGACAAGAGAAAGGCTCACCAAATTTCTCCATTGTTCTGTTCCACCGAAAGACACCTGTCCTTGGCTGCTGGTATCTAGGCATGATTTTTCCCCACAGTTCTCTGCTAAGACAGTTTCTGGGTGGGCCAGAAACAATCCTGCAGGAAAGGAAATGTGAACTTTGCTGCCTTTTTTCCAGGATAGAATCCTACTGTTACTTCCATCTCAGGCATCCGGGTACCAAACCTAGGACCTGAGCTTAGGATTTCTTGGCTCCCAGAAGGGAAGTGTGTTGTGTTTTAGTCTCACAGGTCCATAGACAGGCTATGGGTGTGTTGGTGATGGCAGTGATTTGTGAAGCTCATTTACTGGCAAAAGCCTGATTCCTTACGTCGGTATTGGGAAATACTAAATGTTTACATTAAAAAAATCACATCGGGGGAAAAATACATTAAGTCCTTCCTTCCTTCATCAGTCATTCCTGGCTTACAGTACATTTTTATTGTACACTCTCTTTGCTGTTGTATATCATTAAGGCTTCAGTCTCATATGTTCTGTGTTCAGCAGCATGTAGATCAGTGACTTCAGATGAAACATTTCTGCCTTGCAGGTGTTAGAACATATGTGGATCCTTTTACGTATGAGGATCCAAACCAAGCTGTGAGGGAATTTGCCAAAGAAATTGATGCCTCCTGCATAAAGATTGAAAAAGTTATTGGTGTGGGTAAGTGCCAGAACCTTGCCGTTTTTTCATGTAAATACAGTTGTAAACTTGCTTTTAGGAAACATGGGTCCCTGTGGTTTCTGTACGACAGTTCCCCCAAATGAACGGACATAATGGTTTGACAACGCGGCTCCTGGACAAAGTGAGGC